CCTGAACCCACTCCGCCAGCACTTCAGATGACTGCAACATTGCCACGACGGCTGCGGGTGGCACCGCTTGTCATCCCTCGTGTCACTCGCCCTAATAGCCAGCCCAGACAGAACGGACTAATTTTCATGTACAAGATCACTTAAAAACCCATTCGCGGGCTCCGGCAGGCAGAATGACCTGCGTGCTTGCCTGATGGGTGGCGGGGGTGAGAAGCCAACCACTGACGCGAATCCAGTCCTGGAAAAGGCCTGAGAAGAACTGAGGAATTCACGTTCATTTCACTCCCCGAGCACTGTAACTGAGCGATCTAGGCGCACATCCCCCGTAGACGCAGTATGCGGCGAACACGGCCAGCACCCCAAGCTGGACCTTCTGCGCCCCGTGTGACTTGCACGGCGGGCAGGCAGCATTCCAACAAGCCCTCCCCACCTGCCAAGCCCATCTGCCGCGGGCTCACTGGCAGCCAGAAGTCACAAATTATAACCCACAGGATTCCTAAAAAGTGCCAGCACTCTCGGGGAGGGGGCGGGTAAAGGAGTAGGAAGAGTATGTCTTGCCTTACACAGGGCAGATATGTGACGAGCCTCCTATTATAAAAATCAAATAGGCTCAGGCTTATGGTTCACATGAAAGAAGTTTAGAAAAACCTCCATAACTCATGAAAATGTGAAAGCATGAAATGAACTGGAACCAGAAACTTGACTTAAGGGGTCCTCCGAAAGCATTTTCCAAAGACAATGGAGAGACAGTAAATAATAACCAATCAATAACTAATTTCAACCATCGTGCGCTGATCTGTAAGTAATCTATTTCTTTGTGAGTGCACATGGCCACTTTCGGCAAGGACTTCGAAGCCCCGTCTTACAAGAGGCTACCAGATTAGGAAAGAGCCACCCGTCTCTCATCCCATGAGTGGAGCTGGGAAACCGAGGCCTGCACTGCGGGATGAGCTCTGTCCCTTCGGGCCAAGCTAACAGAAGGCCCCAGAGATCCTGCCACGTTCGGTTCCATCCTCTCTGCCAGTTGAAAATTCTCCTTCTCAGAAAAGATAAGAGTCTACTTGGGGAAAGGAGAGCAGAGGCAGGATGAACTGGGGAGGGGATGGCAGGAAACAAAACTTCTTTGGCAAAGCAACAGGGTCTAGACCTCCACAGACAACTCGTGCACTCGATTCGGTCCGAGGGTGGCATGCTCTGCACCGAAGAGCAGTCAGACCTGAGGTAACAGCCTGCGGTCTGTTAGCGCCTGGCGAGACAAAAATAAAACTCGCATCTACTTACAGAAATGTATAGAGGTGTCGGAAATGACACTTTACCCCATCCCCGTCCCTGCAAATGCAATCGGCGGAAAATCCTCACCACCTAAGAAAGCCGGTATCAACACTTTCACTTGCATCAGCATATGAGTGCATTGTTTCCTTAAAAATAAAACCCCAACAAACTAATGGCATCTTATTGGGCATAAGTGCTTCACGTTATATACAGTTAACACCTATCTGAATTGGGTACAGTGGCGCTTAATCGTTTCATTCTATGCAGAGCAAAGCAACCAATTGAATATAATATTAGTCATTCATCAGATGAAACATTTTTGAAGAAACAAACTGCTATATTTTCCCCTCGAAGAACAGCAAGGATTTTAAACACATTTTTCCTGGAGATCTTAGGCTGAGGAAAACAGCTTAGAAATGTTACTTTAAACAAACTCTGGCTACCAACAACGAGACGAATTGGAACAAATGCTTGGCTTGGTTCTTTCAAGGCCCCTCCTGCCCACCTGTCACAGGCTGCGTTGACCGCCGCCCCTCCCCCGCGCCCGCCCCGGCCCAGGGGACAGCCCCCGGGGCAGCAAAATGCGCCGCCCTGCACGGTCGCCCTCTGCACTGTATGCCGGCGTCCTCATTAGGGATTATCCGACTCACTTGAAGCAGGGAGAGAGAAGATGGGCTGGTTGCCAAGCGTTCTTTCAACACAGATTCCGAAAGAAGATCCTGCAAAGTGTCGAAAGCCCAGATTTTCAGCAGTTCACTTTCTAGACTCCGTTACATAGCAACCATACCAGCTCACAGAGGGTACCAACCAAGTTAATATTTTGTTTAAACGACACGCTGCATTAACCCTCAAGGAAAATCCAAGCTTTCTTCATCAACTAACCTACTGTCAGATACCATCACTGGAACAAAACATCCAGTGGTGGGTGGGTGAGTTTGTTTACCTCATTTTCTTTTAAAAAAATTTTCAGCAAAATATTTGAAAAGGTATCTAGCCATTTCTTGACAGAGAGAGCAAAAGGTAACTCTTCCCCATAACCATTTGTGCTAATATTATTAAAAGCACATTAGAATTCATTGAATATGTGCATAATGCCCTTTAGTTAAAAGATGACTTACACAGTTGCATTTTGAAAGATAATCATTTCATTCAAAAACCTAGATTTGAAAAGTGATAACTCAATAGCATGAAATAGTCTTCTGGTCTGGGCCCACTGAATGACACCGACACAGGCAAAATTAAGCAGAAGGCTAATTCCAAAGAACAGCCAGGAACCCCACGAGCTGAGCGTTGGTGAGCCTTCCTGGGGGTATATTGTGAAGGTACATGAGGATGCCCATCAACCACACATGGAAATGAACTTGAGGAAACCCCACGCTCTCCTTGAGGAATGTGGAAGCACTAGCAGAAAATACCAGGCCACCTCTGCAGAGGGTTCTGTTCTAGCAGATCGCTGAGGAAAGATCAGGGGAGAGAACAAAATAACACAAACAGACTCACAAGGTTAAAGCACGGGAAAAGTACCAGACTCATGTCCTGTGGCTGTAAATGCAAATGGCGCCCCACTGGATTTATCTGGGGGCGGGGGGCTGGTCTTCTTTTCAACGATCACATCAGTTTAAATTCACATCACATCAATTTAGAGGGATAGGTGGCCCACAATTACGTTGAAGTTAAAGCTTTTACCATTTTATTTTCTGATTATAAAATCACTAAATGCCCCCTGGGAAAGGTTTTGAAAAGCACCAGTGGCACACAGAGGACAGATGAAGACCGGCCTTCATCCCGCTGCCCACGGACAGCCACTGACTGCGCAGGTGGGCCCCCAAGGGCAGGAGGACGCTGCTGGTTTTGCATGGCTTTAAGAATCGCAAGAGATCCGAAAGCCAGCTCCATTTCCACAGCCTCGTGTATTTTTGTGGGAAAAAGGAAAACAGCCCCCTGTTGCTTCACATCAACAATTTAACCGGCAGCTAAGTATCTCAACTTCCAAGTTGAGTGTGTAGATCGTTGCTGACTGGCCTCCTTAGCATGCTCAGCGTGCGACTGGACCAGGACTCAGATGAAAGCTGCCAAACTTTCCCTTGGCTGAGGAAAGGGGCAGGCGGCGGGCGAGAAACCAGCATTGTTTGGTCCCCTTTACCATGGCTTTTGGTTCTTAGCAAAATGCCAGGTCTTGGCTGTTTCTGAATGTTGGGAGAGCTCCTGCCTATAAAAAGTAGAGCAATGCCACGCTTACCCTCTCCCCCCGCCCCAGGTACCAGCGAAGAGTGTCTTCCACGCACGATGACATAGCAAGGGATAAATGACGGAATGACCAGACACCCACCTGGAATACTGTGCGGCAAACGCCACCTTCCCACCATTACGTCATGGCCACTTTGGTACCAAATGACGACCCCAGTTCCTAAGACTTTAGACAGACTCCTCAAGTACCAAGTGAAGGTCTGACTTGCAATTCAACGTAAAACGGCTCACGCTCAGGCTTAACATCTCGCACCCCAAAAGGGCGCACCCTCCCTGCGACCAGGAGCTGATGCAGAGCCGGCATGGATACGAAAACAGACTCTGAGCACTTAGGGGAAGCCCTGGAAATGACAACAAAACCAGAAAACCCTTAGGAGTCCCTGAGCCATCGGTACCTCATACTTCATCAAGTGACATATTTATCCAAGTGACCCTCCTGGACTGGATTTTTTTTTTCCTGTTGTGTTCTGGATTTCAGCAGTTCAGTTTACAATCCAAATGCTATTAATAACCAGTGACACCCGTTTCTTAAAGGGCAATTAGGCAAGAAAAATAAAAGAAAAAGAAAAAGCCTGAAAAGCCAGCTTTGACCCTTTCACTTCTCCGATCACAGAACACAAACAGTCCATTTTGGGGACGCTCCCTCCACCTTCAACCGTGGCAGGGAGCCTCTGAGCTCCATCACTGGCAATGACAACACAGACCAGCTGTCTTTCTTCCCTCCTCAACTGCGAAGAGTCCCTTCCAGCAGCGGCTTTCTGCAGCCCACAGTCGAAGTCATCTTTCCGACAGGAGCCTATCACTCAGCCTTTGAGATCTAAGATTTCCCCCTGGAAAAGTGCTCTGGGTATTTATATTTGCTGGAAATTTAAACTCCCTGCCGAGCAGGGGCATCTACTGTTGCGTCGGTAGGTTCCAATGCCCGCGCGGTCAGATGGGGGGGAAATAAAGTCCAGATGCAATCGAGACGAGGGGTTTGGCATCCGTGGAGAAAAGTGCAAAGCAGCCCAATCCCCTACCCCAAAACGCGGCCGCAGAGCCTGGAAACTCGCTCTCGGGGCAAGAGCCATTCCAAAGGAAGCCGGCTGCGGGACTGGGGGAGCTGTGGCATTCGCCCCCGCCGCGGTTGGGGGGCCAAGGCCCGGGCGTGAAAAGTTTGCCCACGGAGCCGGGGGCTGTGTGCCAGCTAAAGGGCACTTTCTGCTGCCGGAAGGGGCCCGCCGGCTGCGCTCGCTCGCGCCGCCCAGGGCCGGTGTGACCGTGTGAACCGCTGCACACTGCGCCCGGGTTTTCCTTCAAGACAGCTGCCTGCAACTCCCAGCAGGGGTGCAGCGGTGGCCACAGCCGGACCGAGAGGGTTACGGGCCACAAGGCAAGGCGATTTCGCCCCGGGCATGGGGGACGCCGAGCCTCCGGCCCCCTCCAGGCCCGGTCCCGCGCGCTCGCCTCTCCTCCGTCCCCGCGCGCCGGGCGATCCCTACCTTGCGCGCCGTGCTGGTGGTTCTCCATGTTCGCCGCCGCCGAGTCTGCCGCCGCCGAGGCGCTGGCCGCCGCTCCCGGGCCCGGGCCGGGGCCGGGGCCGCCGCCTCCGCTCAGTTCCGCCAGTCTCCGGTTGGTGGCCGTGAGTTCAGCTCGCAGGTTGGTCACCTCCTGGCTGGCCGACTGGACCGCCCCATCGATGCGGAGCGCGAGCTGCTTATTGTCTTCCATCATGCTCAGGATTTTGGCCTGGGGGCGAGAGAGGTGACAAAGAGATGCATGATGCGTGGGGGGCGCGCGGCCGGGCACCCCCGGCTCTACCTGTTGGGTCCCCCGCGGCCCGGCTCCCTCGCGCCCCGAACCCCGGGCACCGCCAGCGCCGGCTCCTCGGGCGCAGGAATGACAGCGGCGTCTCCAGCCCGAGTCGTGGCGGTAGCAGGGCGCTGAGGGAGGAGGAGGAGGGGGAAGAGGAGGAGGAGAAAGAGGAGGAGAAGGAGGAGGAGGAGGAGCAGCGATCGCCGAGACCCCAGCGCCGAGAGCGCTCGGAGGACACCGCGCGCCGCCCGGCACTCTTTCAATGGAGCCTACCATTCGCCGCGTGCTCTGGAGGGGGCCTGGCCTGGCCGCCGGGGCGCACCCTCGGCCTCTCGTGCCCCCCACTTCGGGGACACACCCCCAGGGGGCGGGGGCAGCGGGAGGCGGCTCGGAGTGGGCAGAAGTGGCGCCCCCGGCGAGGGGTGGGGAGCGCCTGGCCCAAGGCCGGCCCTCGGTCCCCTCCCTCGAGCGGTGGGGCGGCCCCCGCCCTGGCGAACTCGCGCCCCGCGCCTCGCTGGGGCTGGGGCTGGGGCTGGGGAGGAGGTGGGTGCTTGGGAGAGAGGGGTGCTTGGAAAAGGGGCCCCAGAGGGGAGCGGGCAGGGAGCTCCGCGGGAGGGGGCAGCCTGTGCGAGCTCAGAGTGCAGTTCTTGCCTTGCGGGTTCCTTAAAATGCGGGGAGGAAATTGCGGCGGGGAGCTGGGCAGGCGCCCCGCGTGCCTCGCTCTCCACCCCATCCCCACCCCACCCTCGCCGCCCCGCCCCGCGCTGCCCTCCTCTCCCTCAGGAGCGCTCGGTCCTCCCCGGGGTGGGCCACTCCCGCCCTGGCCTCCCCTCATACCTGCAACCGGCGTGCGTGCCCCAGGTGGAGGGGTGGCCTTAGCCAGGTCCCAAGCTTCTTAGCTGCGGTGGGGGGCGAGAGGGGTGAGGCCAGGGAGAAAGCTGAACGGCGTCAGCGGGGCCTCCCCCTTTCTCCTCCTGGGGGCAGGAGCTTGAAGCCCAGCTGCCTCAGTTTACCCACTTTCCTCAGGGGAGACCTGAGGCAACCTTAAAGTTGATAAACCCATCTAGTGCCTCTTGCGCCCAGAGCACAGGCTTCGCATTTTTCACTGGGGCCCTGGATTCCAGCCACCAGACCTTGTTACCATAGCAAGCTTCATTCCATGCAAATAGGACAGTTTAAAGCAGCCAATGTAACCCGTGCACCACCATCCCAGCTGGTCAGCCCAGGGAGAGCAGCTCAGATCCCACTGCAGAAGCCCTTGGTGGGCTCTTGCAGCGACTGAGATTGCCCACCCTTGAGATTCCACAGCACTTATTGGAAGCCTACTGTGTGCCAAGTTCTAGGTGGGAGTTCTCATCTCTTTGGAGTAAGGATGACTATTCCCACTTTAGAGATGAGGACGCTGAGCCTATGGCAGGTGTAAGCCATTTACCCAGGGCACCCACAGAAATCAGGTGAAACCAGGTCCGGAAGTCAGCGATCACCCAATTCTGAGTTAGGCCCATTGTGCCTTCAGGAGGCATTGGATGCTGGGTAGTTTTCTTCCCCTTTTATTTGGAGCCATAAACATACACTTTTGCTCCATCCCCTGTGACCACTAAAAAGCTTTTGCAAGAGGACAGGGCGGTATTCGATGGTGGAACACGTGGCAGCACAATTTTCTCTCAGTCCACTCCACTCAGCTAACTGGTCAGCTGGAGAACGACCCTGACCTCGGCTTCATTAGCACACGTTCTGACCCACTGGGCCACCGCAGGCGCGCAGGCTGCTTGGCGGGCTCGTAAATCAGGATTCAGTCCTTCGGGTAAGTTACGGAGGGGCAGCGCCGCGGCTCTCTGTGGGTCTTCACAAGGGTGAGGGTGGCCTGGTGCGGCCGCGGTGGAAAGCGGTTTGGTGGTTCCTCAGAAAGTTAAACGTAGAATTACCATATGACCCAGAAATTCCACCCCTCAGTATCTACACCAAAGAGCTGAAAACGCATTCAGACAAAAATGTGTATACAAACATTCCCAGAAGCACTATTCAAAATAGCCAGAAGGTGGAAACAACCCAAATGTCCATCAAAAACAAAAAGAATGGATAAACAAATTGTGGTTGAGCCACCCAATGGAATATTAATCAACCATGAAAAGGAACATAAAAAGTACCGATGTGTTACAATGTGGATAAACCTCAAAAACGTTATGCTAAGTTCAAGAAGCCAGACACAGAAGGTCACGTGTTATATGATTCCATTTATATGTGATACCCAGAGAAGTTAAACCCGTAGCTATGGAAAGTAGATCCGTGTTTGTCAGGGGCTAAGGGAAGGAGAGAATGGGCAGTAACTGCTTATGGGCACCCGGCTTTATTTTGGGGTGATCAAAATGTTTTAGAAGTAAGTCGTGGTTTCACAACTGGTCCTTTAATGTTATGTGGATTTCACCTCAATAAAAAGTCAGCATATATGCAAATACAAATAAATAAATAAATAAATAAAGGCTGTCCTGGGAACAAGCTTGAGAAAACCAGCCAAGAGTAGCCCTATTTGGAGGACTCCCTCCGTGCGTGCGAGCGCGTGCACGCCCACGTGTGTGTGAGTCATGTGCACCTCCGTTACAGCCCCCCCCGGAAGGCACGGTAATCTACCTGTGTGCATGTCTCTCTCCCCCTTCCTGCACTGTGAGCTCCTGCAGCGGGGAGCGTGGCCAGTGTTTGCGTTACTCGTCTTTGCACCCCTGCCGCCTAACCTGGAGTCGGCATTCTGCAAGTGCAGGTGTGTGAGCGTGCTTGTGCAGTAAACAAACCCACCAAGGTTTACTCATTTCCTCCTCACTGAGAGTATTCTCACGCACCAGCACTTTCAAATCAAGGCAAAACAAAACAACCCAACAAGGGAGAAAGACAGGACTCGTTTCTTGGGCCCCTTCTCTCCTCTCTGCCTCCTTGTCCCCAACTGTGCTCAGCCATGGAGGCTTTAAGAAACTCACTTTAGAAACCCTTGGGGTGCTTCCTAGGATTTTAAAGAATTTTATTTTTTGAGAGATTTTTTTTTCTTAACACGAAAAAGGGGCTTTTCCCAGCTGTGTCTCCTTATGTTCACAAAAGGATCAGATCTCAGATGGAAAGTCTGAAATCAATTAGCCTCTAGATTCTACTTGATTTAAACCAAAACGGATTCTAGTCTACCTTTCTTCCCAGCTTCCATCACCACTCCTCCCTAGGTGATCTCAGGTGACAAACTAATCAGAAAATCCTTGTCCACTCCCACTTGCCTAAGGCCCTATTGCCAGCCCAGTGAATGCTAATAGGCACATATAACTCATTTCTTGGGAGACACCTGTAAGCTGTTGGGGGCGGGGCTCCAGAGCTGTCTGTCATCCATAGCGTTCTCTCTGTTTGGGGTCCACAACTATGACAATTGGGCAGTCCTGTGCCTTCCGTTTCAGGGTCCAACTTCCTCATGTTCCTAGGAACCCCCGTCTCACACCTCAGTAAGCTGATGTTAAGAACCAAGCCAGGAAATGGGGTCACCTCATAGACACCGGCTGCCATCGCCCCAGTGTCCCTGGCTGCCATCCCTCCCTAGCAGCCACACACCATTCAAGGCTCAGACAGTGCCCTGGTCCTTATGTGGTCACCAGCCTCCACCAGTGTTTACTGTGTGTCCTATCTTTCTGAGCAGAAGGAGCAAACTGTGCCATGAGTGTTTGGTGCCTGTCAAAACTTGTCTGGGCATTTCAGAAAGTGCAAAACCATCCTTGCTCAGCAAAAGAAAATTCCTGATGAGAACCAAGGCAAAGGGCCTAACCCATTGCTGACAGCAACGCCATATGCACAGCCCTTCTCCCATAAATAGAGTGACCTTATGCTTTAATGTCCAAACTGGGACACCTTTGGAAGTGAAAGAAGTGCTATGGATCATAAGGCTGAGACAAGCGGTGTAAATTGGAACTGTCCCAGGAAGCCCCATATACATGGGGTTTTCCCACCCTAAGGCCAGGCGATACAGTTTGGTCCTATGAGGCAGCATTGGGATCCCTTCCTCCGGCTCCCTCGCTGTATTACTGATGGAGAACTGGAGACCGGGAGACCGGAAGGGACCCTGCGGCCCTCTCCGTCAAGGAGGGGGGCAAGATTCAAACCAGAGTTTTCAGAAAATGGCCCAGCATCCCACCCGCGTGTCCACAGAACAGACGACCAGACTCACGCCGGCCCATCGGTGCACGTGGCGCCTCCCAAGTTCTGGATGTGGAAGAGCGAGCCCAGAGTCTCACACGGCCTGGCCTCTGACTTCATCCTGCCCCACGCCCCGCCCCCCCCGCTCACACCCCTCTTGTCCCTTCATTCCTTCCGGCCTCAGGTCTCTCTGCGTCCTCCTGGGATCATCTCCCTGGCTCTTTCTGCGTCGGTTTCCTTTTTATCCCATAGATTTAACATTCAACATTTCCTCATTTCAGAGCGCGTATTGCCATTGATCGTTGTTGTGTGTGTTTACTTTGTTTATCTACACTCTGGGCTAAGAATTGGAGAGGTAAGTAGCCATAAATTTGGCTCAGTGGGGTAAAGGTGTTTAAACCCCTGATCCGGAGGTCCCCGCCCCATCCTGCTTACTCCGCTTTGTCTTGAAGTCCATGGAATGCAAAAGAAATCAATGCCCTTTTATGGAGCTAATGCAATGATTTCTATTGCGTGCAGCCCAATGCCAGGCTAGGACTGCACCCCCCCCCCCGCCCCCCGCCAACACACATGCACCCACCCAGCTGCTCTGCGAGCCTCCTGAAGGCAGGGCTCCTGTTCAGCTCTTCTCTTTGCACCCACTGCCTAGTGCTCAGCAGAGGCTCCTCCAAAGAGTCTGTGGTTGACCAAGCCAGTGTATCCCCCTCCCTGAGCTCCTTACCCACGGAGACTTGCTTCTCTCATTCACACCCTTCTCATCTTCCATCCGCCCCTGG